CTGTGGCTGAGGCTGAGGCAAGCTGCGGCTGAGGGCTGAGGCTGTGGCTGATGCAGGCTGAGGCTGAGGCAGGCTGAGGCTGAGGCTGAGGCAGGCTGGGCTGAGGAGGCAGGCTTAGGCTGAGGCCGAGGCTGGGCTGAGGCTGAGCTGAGGCTGATGCTGAGGCCTGAGGCAGGTGAGGCTGAGACAGGCTGGGCTGAGGCTGAGGCAGGCTGAGGCTGAGGCAAGGCCCGAGGCAGGCTCAGGCCGAGACAGGCTGAGGCTGAGACTGAGGCTGAGGCTGAGGATGAGGCCGAGGCAGGCCGAAGCTGAGACAAGGTGAGGCTGAATGGGGGGGGGGAAGGGGGGGGGGAGGGGAGGCTGAGGCAGGCTGAGGCCGAGGCAGGCTGAGGCCGAGGCAGCTGAGGCTGAGGCTGAGGCTGAGGCAAGGCTGAGGCTGAGGCTGAGGCAGGCTGAGGCTGAGGCTGAGGCAGGCTGAGGAGGCAGGCTGAGGCTGAGGCTGAGGCAGGCTGAGGCTGAGGCCGAGGCAGGCTGAGGCTGAGGCTGAGGCAAGCCGAGGCAGGCTGAGGCTGAGGCTGAAACTGAGGCAGGCTGAGGCATCCGTAGGAGTCCATAGGAATCCCTAGGAATCCTCAGGAATCCGTAGGCATCCTTAGGAATCCGTAGGCAGAGTTAAGCATCCTCAGGAGTCCTTAGGAATCCTTAGGAATCCTCAGGAATCCTTAGGAATCCCTAGGAATCCCTCAGGAATCAGGATTCCTAAGGATTCCTAAGGTTTCCTGAGGATTCCTATGGATGCCTAAGGATGCCTTAGGAATCCCAAGGAATCCTTCGGATTCCATTGGATCCTAAGGCCGTTGCCACTGCGACTGTCATTGCGAATGCGACTGCGACTGCGAGAACAGCATAATTCTACAACTGGATTATCACCTGACTCTTAAGGGGAATGCTTCCAGAGATGCTTATACACATCGCTGTTAGGTTGCTTTGCCGAGATAATCAAAACATAGGTCTCGCCTTATCGGCGGAAAGGGGAAGAGAGAAAGAGAGAGAGAGACAGACATAGAAGCAGAGAAAGGGAGAAAGAGAGAGAGAGAGAGAGGGATAGCGACACATAGAAAGAGAGAGAGAGAGAGAGAGACAGAGAGCGAGAGAGTGAGAGAGAGAGAGAGAAAGACCAACATTTATCACATGACAGCAAACAAGAGGTGAGAAAAGGAGACGTGGCGAGGGGAGGGATAGTAGAGATGGGGTGAAATGGCAAGTTGGGTGTGTTCGCGCCATACCTGACATCCTACCCCTCCATCCCATCCCTTCCGATTGCGCTGAGTTTTCTCCATCCGAGGACGCGTGTCGTAGCTGACCTGGAACCCCCCAAAGACCCCAGCGTGTTCTTTGCAGTCGAAGAAGGGGAGCTGCTTACAGAGGAGTGGGTGGCGGATGAGCAGGAGGATGAGAAGGACGAAAAGGAGAAGGCTGAGGAAGAAGGAGGACGATGACGAACAACAGCAGCGATAACTGGAGTGGAACGAGCGGGAAAAGCAGGAGGACCAGAGGAACGCGGATGAGGGGAAATGAGCGGGGCGACGACGGTGAGAAAAGACTTCGGATCCGTAACAGTGGACCGCGCTGGGGCGAACACGCCAGTCTGAACGACTGGAGCAGAGCCGCGAACCTACAACGAGGCCCGCGCTGAAGCGGGAACACAACAGTGGGCTGGAGGAGGAGGAGGAGGAGGAGGAGCGGGAGGAGGAGGAGGAGGAGGAGGAAGGAACATTGGAGGGACCGAACACGTTCGGGCCGCAACGCACATCCTGGCTGTAGCGGCCTCGCGCGCACCGGCGCGGCGAAGACGGTGCAGCAGTCCGAACAGCGCGCGCGGCGGCTGGGCCCTTCAGCAGCGCTTAGGATGCACAGGTTGGGGAACACAACACAGCACAGCACAGCACAGCACAACACAACACAACACACGACAAGATAACACAACACGGCACAACACAACACAACACAACCCACAACACATCACAACCCACAACACAGCACAACACAGCACAACACAACACAACGCAACACAAGACAAGACAAGACCACAAGGCAACACAACACAACACAACACAACACAACACAACACAACACAACACAACACAACACAGCACGGCACAGCACAGCACAACACAACACAACACGCACACACACAACACACACAAGACACCATCGGGTGCGCAAAAACAGTACGCAGAGCGGGGGCGGACGTCTCCCCGTCCTTCTTCGGGCAAGAAGACAGGGTAGGATTCACATGGAGTAGTGGTGTATGGGGTCAGTGCACGGTGCAGTAAGAGTCGATGCGAGGGGCCGGAGGGGCGAGGAGGGAGGAGAGGGGGACGGCCGATTCCCACCATCTTGGGCTCCGATTTGGAACAGCATTTGGCTGTGCGGATCCATGTATCCCGCTACTTCGGGGTCGTCACGACACCATCCAGCTCTAAGCAGGACCTAGCAAGCCAGGGCCGCTTTCCGAAGGGGGGTACGCGCTGCGCACGCTTGTCAACATTTCGTTCGGCAGGAACTGTGGAGGATGAGGAGGAAGATGCGTAGGCGAGGGATGATGATGATGATGATGATGATGAGGAGGAGGAGGAGGAGGAGGAGGAGGCTGACGAGGACGAGGACGGGGCTCGAGGAAGGGCTGGGGAAGGAGGAGGAGGAGGAAGAGGAGGAGGAGGAGGAGGAGAGGCTGGGGGATTGTGGCGGACCTCCCTGATCCGAGTGTAACAGGGTTTTCGTGATTAGTTGGTTCTCTTTATCGTGATCTTCTTCTTTTTTTCTTCTCTCTCTCTCTCTCTTTCTCTCTCTCTCTCACTGTTCGCCAGCCTCTTTACAAAAAATAACCCCCCGAACATGGTTCTCGGAACTACAGCCCTGTGCCAAACGGCATGGGGCTGGAATTTCGCCAGAGGAGTTTGTTTACGAGCTTTCAGCCTTGTCTTCATCATCCTTATGTTTCCTCTCTCGCTTTCTCCCAGTGTTTTTCCTTCATATACACATTATCTGCATCTCCTTCCTTAAGCATCACAGGCGGATCCCTCTGGCAAGCGAAGCAAAGATATTCTATGTCCTCGCAACAGGAATCCGCAGGGAGTCAGTACCAAAGGATTCCAGTGGAACACCTCATAATCGGAGCCGTTTGGAAAGCAGTGCTGAGGGCTTCTATTGGGACGCGTCACAGGAGGAATCCTTTGGACGACACAAGATATTCGATTGGACAGCCTCGGGCTTGGAACACTGTGCGACATGCTATACAGGAATCCCATTGTATGGCCTCACAACAGGGATCATTTGGAAAGCGCTGCCTAGCAACGCGCATTTTGTTAGAAACAGTCATAGTTGGAATCCTTTGAAAAGCGCCCCAGAAGGATTCTACGGTAACAAACAGCTGGAACCCTCCTGCAAGGAATCTACCAGGTCTTATCGGACGTTCTCGCAATAGAGATCTTTTGAACAGCGCAACAAGATGGATTCTATCGGAGCGCCTGGCAACAGGAATCCTTTGGAAATCGCCACAGAGTTTGTATGGGAAAGCCTCGCAAGAGAAATCCTTTGGACAGCTGCACGAAGGACCCCTACTGGAAAACGCCACAAGAGGAACCCTCTGGAGAGCTCCACATAGGGACTCGATTGAATTGGAAAACGCCACTAAGGGGTTTGCAACGAGGATCCTTGGAAAGTGCCACAAAGGGATTCTACGGGAAATCCTCGCAGTTGGAATCCTGTGGGGCGCGCCGCAGATGGGTTTCTGTGGGAAAACATTACACCAGGAATCCTTTGGTAAGCGCCACTAGGCGATTTTAATCGGATGCAGCACACACATTAATGCTTCGGAAAGTACCATAAAGAGATTCTATAGGACAGTCTCACAACTGGAGTCGATTGGGAAGCACGGCGCAGAGATTCGGTTGGAAAGCCTCGCAACAGGAATCCCCCGGAACGCGCCACAACTGCATTCTATTGGAAACCGTCACAGTGGGAATCGTTCGGAAAGCACCGCATGGCGATATCATGGGAAGACCCTACACCAGAAACCTTTTTGAAACCACCACTGCAGGCTCTTATTTGAACGCCGCACGCGAGATAATGCATCGGAAGGCATCACAAAGGAATTCAACTGTGAAGCCTCACAGCAGGACTCTTTTGGATACAGTGATTATCGGAGGTATGGGAACGCTTCACGACACAGTGATTATCGGAGGTATGGGGGTGAGATCGAAGTGGAACGCAGAGCCCCCCTACCGGGAAATCGATTTCGGTTTCGTGCTCGTGCGTGCCGTGCGGGCGAGGCGAAGCTGCGTGGGCGGGCGAGAGAAAGTCTCCCGTGGCTGAGGCGCGGCGGGAGCAAAAGAACCTTGACCGGGCGGCCGGTGTCCCGCTGGTGTCCCGCTGGTGTCCCGCTGGTGTCCCGCTGGTGTCCCGTGTGGCTGAGGCGCGGCCGGGGCAAAAGAACCTTGACCGGGCGGCCGGTGCCGCGCGGTGTCCCGCCGGTGTCCCGCTGGTGTCCCTTCGGTGTCCCGTCGGTGTCCCGATGATGACGTGGATGATTATGATGATGATGATGATGATGATGATGATGATGATGATGATGATGATGATGATGATGATGATGGTAATGATGATGATGATGATGATGATGATGATGATGATGATGATGATGATGATGATGATGATGATGATGATGATGATGTTGATGATGGCGATGATGATGATGATGTTGATGTCGTTGATGATGATGATGATGATGATGATGATGATGATGATGATGATTATGATGATGATGATGACGTCGATTGTGAAATCGATTGTGATATCAATAGTGAGACCGAATGTGAGATCGATTGTGCGATGCTGATGGTGATGATGGCCATGATGGCGATGCTGATGGTGATGATGGTGACCACTGTTGCCCATTGCTGGCCCCCCCCCCCCCCAAACCTCCTTATCACCTGCAGGGTGGTCGTATAGGTATGGGAACGTCTCGCAACAAGGATCCTTTGGAAGGGGCCACAGCGGGATTCTACGGGAAATCCTGAACGTGGGAATGATTTGGGACGCGTCGCAAAAGGGGTTCTATTGTAAAACGTCACATCATGACTCCATTGGGCAGCACCACAGGGAGAACCCACAGGTGAGTATCACAAATGGAAACCGTTGGAAAACAATGCAAGGATATTCGATTGGAGCGCAACGCAATCGGAATCCATTGGGGAGCACCACGACGAGGTTTTATGGGAACACATCACGCCAGGAATCAGTTGGAAAGCGCACCAGCAGAATTCCGTTAGGGACCGTCACGGTGGGAATTCTTTGGAAACACCACAAAGGGGAGTCGGTCAGAAACCTTCACACCACGAATCTTTTAGAAAGTGCCGCAGAGGGAATTTTGTCGGAACGCCTCACAACAGGAATCCATGGGAAAACACCCTACAGGGATTATATGGGAAATCCGCACAAAGGGACTTCATTGGAACGCACCACCAAGGATTTTTCACCACCGCCAACAATACAAACCTGTCACATCATGTTTTTTGGGGGGCGGTGGGGGGTGGGTGGGAAGGGGAGAGGAGCATGATGGAAAGGTAGGATGAGGGAGCAAGCACCTCTGGTTTAGGTACGAGGGGTATGGAGGAGGCGACGGAGCAGTGGCACTTTCGCGCTGGAGTCTGGAAGCCCTCCCTACCTCAGCTGCCTGCGCCCTACTCCTTTTCGCCTCTCTCGCTGAAGCTCGCGAGGTCGATGGTTGGACGCTGCCCTTCAAGCTCCAGGCATCGAGCGCCCGACTGCGCCGCGCGAGCTCACCAGATGAAGACGTTTCTTACCGAGTACGCATTCTCTTAGTGCAATGCCTGTTCCTCGTTGGCAAGATGTGCTGTCAATGTCAGCACACGTGCATCTTCACACGTACTACTTACACCTACATGTACATGCGTGTGTGTATATATATGAATTTGTATATGTAAGTACGTAAGTCTGTATGCAGGCATGTATGTATGTATACATATATATATATATATCTTTATAGGCATGCAGGTGCATATATATATATATACATATATGTATACATACATACTCATGTAGATATATGTATATATACATATGTACATATATATATACATATATATATATATATATATAGATGCAGCCGAATATTTGCGCAACGCTTGGATCAGACACACTTTGCGTACCGTAACATATGTCTGTTAAGACAAGGAGCCCTCATCGCATCCCACGGGTCGGTATCCGTGCGGCGGGGGAGGCGCGCAAGCCTCTCGGCCGGGTGGCACAGATTGGTCGTCAGGGACACAGGCGGGCTGATGGATGATGGAGGCGCTCGAGCGCCCCTGATCAAATCAGGCTCCTTCCTCCGTCTCCTCCTCCTCCTCCTCCTCCTGCTGATCCTCCTCCTCCTCCTCCTCCTCCTGCTCCTCTTCCTCCTCCTCATCCTCCTCCTGGTCCTTCTCCTCCTCCTCCTCCTCCTCCTCCTTCTCCTGCTCCTCCTCTTCCTCCTCCTCATCATCATCCCTTTCCTCCTCCTCCTCCTGGTCCTCCTCCTCCTCCTCCTCCTGGTCCTCCACCTCCTCCTGCTCCTTCCTCCCCTCTCGTTTGGTCGGGGGTTCGATCGGGTTCCTCTCTTTCCTGGCCGGTTTGGCTATAGTGTCCACGCGCATCCAGGGTAGGTTCGGATTGGCCTGCCATGAGGACCCCACACACGCACTGAGTTTCCACACTTCCGACGCTGTGATTATTTCGATCCGTGGGTCGTAACTCGACCCTTGCACATAATCAGTTTTTGGTTCTGGGGAGTTCTTTGCTAATGGGGGGATGGATACAGATGGCAGAAAGGAGGGGAAGTGGAGGGACGGAGGCAAGGCAGGGGGGGCGATGGGGGTGGAGGAGGATCCTTCAGCTTCTCTTCTCTTTCTGCTTCCCCTTCCTCCCGCCGTCTCCTTCCCCCTTCCCCTCTCCTCCTCCCTCCTCACTCGACTTTTCAGACTTCCTGACCGTCTCTCTATCTCTCCCCACTTCTGATTTTTTTCACTCCTCCTGACCCTCTCTCCCTCTTCCTGACACCTCCTGCTCCCCCCCACTCGACTTTTCACACTTCCTGACCCTTTCTCCATCTCTCCCTCCCCCCACTCCTGCCATCCTGACACCACCCTCTCCGTCGCCGCTGCCGCCGCCGCTGCCGTGGTGGTGGTGGTGGTGATGGTGGTGGTGGCGTCGTCGTCGTCGTCGTCTTCGTCGTCGTCTTCGTCGTCGTCGTCGTCGTCGTCGTCGTCGTGATACTGCTACCCTTCCCTCGTCGCCACGGTTGGATTCGCCTCGAGATTCTGGTCAGAACGCACCCCTCGGGAGGTCTTGGGATCGTCGCCAGCATTAGGGGTTGTGGTACTTGCCGCCGCCATCGACTACTGTTCATGCCCTCCGGCCGGCACGTGCTGCTGCAGCAGCACATGCATGCGCCAGAGACCACGAACAGTACAGGGGGGGCCCCATGCCGAGAAACACCCTGCTTGCGCCCTTGGTTCTTGGGTCTCGATGGCTTCGCTGTCGAAGGCGTGACGTTCCCACACCAAGGAATCGGTGGACGCCCTGGGGTCTCAGGGTTGGGCTTCCTGTGGAAGGTTTCTTGTGGACTGGCCTCCACTGTAGTTGACGGCAGCGGCGGCGACGACGACGACGACGACGGGCGGCAGGAAGCTCGTGGGCAGGCAACCCACGGGCTGCCTGCCGCCCAGAGCCGCCAGGCCTCGAGCAGAGCCGGGGCACCTCGGCGGTGAAGAGCTCCCGCCCTGCGGTTGTCACACGGTGCGCGAGGGCCTTCTCCTTCTCGCTTCCCCCCCGGGTGCGCCGCCGAATCTGGCTGTTGGGTCATATATCTCGGCTCCCGGGCGAGGAGGAGGAGGAGGAGGAGGAGGAGGAGGAGGAGGAGGCGGAGGAGGAGGAGGAGGAGGAGGAGGGAGGAGGAGGAGGAGGAGGAGGAGGAGGAGGAGGAGGAGGAGGAGGAGGAGGAGGAGGAGGAGGAGGAGGAGGAGGAGGAGGAGGAGGAGGCCGTGGAGCGCGCCAGAGGCGGCAGCGCAGGCGCCGCCAGGAGGGCTGGGCGCCGATCCGGGAGATCCGCCGAGTCCTCGAAGCCTCCCTGCCTGGCCTCTCCCTCGATCTACCGCCTTTCGGTGAAGGGGGCGACTGGGCTCTGGTCGGGCACGTCCCTCTACAGGAGGAACATTCAAAAGTAGTAAACAAACTGATCTGGGGACGATTCCCACTTTTTTTTATTTGTGTCAAGATTTTTTTGTTGTGTGTTTGTGTGTGTGTGACTGTTTTCAATTTTTTCTTTCGTTCGAAATCGGCCTGTAGGAGGACATGCCCGACCTGAGACGGCATTTTCATTCTCGACGCGCGTCGGTGTGGGCAACCCTCGTGGAGGAGGCTCGCGATTCCAAACCAGGGTCTCCCATTCCTCGTTTGTCTGGTCATGGCTCTCTCTACAGTGGAGACCCATGCCAAGAAACACGCTGCTCGCCTCGGGTTTCTTGGCATGGGTGCCCTGGGTTTCTTGGGTTTCGATGGTTTTTCTACGGACAGCGTGACGTTCCAAGACCGAAAACCAAAGGACGTCCTGGGGTCTCAGGCTTGGGCTTCTTGTGGAAGGTTTCTTGCGGACCGGCCTCCACCCTATGCAGGTCAGAGGCCGCCAGGGACCGCTGGAGACCGCCGAAGGTCGCGAGAGACCGCCGAAGGCCGCCGAGTGCCGAAGGGCAGCGAGGGGCGGACAACGAATGGTTGGGAAAGCCCAGGCCTCCCCGCAGGCCGGACCCCCCCCCCGCCCGCCCAAGATCGACGGCGGGGAGTGCAAGGCCACCTCGGACGGGGTGGACACCAAGGTACGCGACCACCGCTGTGGGAGGAGGAGGAGGAGGAGGAGGAAGAGGAGGAGGAGGGCGAGGAGGAGGAGGAGGAGGAAGAGGAGGAGGAGGAGGAGGAAGAGGAGGAGGAAGAGCAGGCAGAGGGAGGATGAGGAGAAGATGGAGGTGGAGGAGGAGGAGGAGGAGGAGGAGGATGAGGAGTAGGAGAAGGAGAAGGAAGAGGAGAAGGACCAGAGGAATTCCAAGATGCATCAACGATACTGAAATACGCCCTCCCGTCCAACTCATTATACAGAGTGCCAGGGCACTCTCAGAGCCTTCCGGAGCACACTCGAGCACACTGCCCTCCTGCCCCTTCCTCCTTTTCCTCTGGCTGCCATTTGCGGGCCTGAGTCGATGACTTTGAAATGCAGTCTAATGCTTGATATGACGCAGCTCGCCACTGTGGGATGCATTCTGTCACAGAGTGTCCAACCGAGTTGGCCGCGGTTTCCCCCTCTTCTCCTTCCTCTTTCTCCTCCCGCTCCTCTCTCCTCGCTGGCGTGGTGATGGATTCGCCGGGTTGGCCGCTAGGGCCATTCTGCTCAGGCCATGCCAATATTTCTTCGGAGTTGCCGCACTTCTCCTACAGACTGCAAGTGGCGAATGAGGGTGCAGCGTCGCGTTCGTCCCCTCAGCTTTCCTCCTTCTCCTCCATAATTGCGCGGTGAAAAAAATCCCTGGAGTGGTCGTGGTGCCCGATGCATCTTGCAGCCGCCTTGGCTCTCAGAGGTTCCTCATTCATGCAATTACAGATTGTTCTTCTATTACTCGTCATCATTACCACAACAGCCATCATCATCATCGTCATCATCATCGTCATCACCATCATCATCGACATCGTCATTGTCGTCGTCGTCGTCCACCATCATCATCGTCACCATCATCATCATCATCATCATCATCATCATCATCATCATCATCATCATCATCATCATCCTGTTCCTTATCTCTCTTTTTCTCCTCCCCCTCCTTTTCCCCATCGTCATCATTCTGATCATCATCAGCACCATCGGCATCATCGCCATCATCATCAGCATCATCATCATCAACAGCGCCATCATCATCACCATCATCATCATCATCATCGTCATCATCATCATAATCGTCATCGTCATCGTTATCGTCATCATCATCATCGTCATCATCATCTTCACCATCAGCATCATCATCATCGGCATCACCATCATCGTCATAAGCATCATCGTCATCGTCATCGCAAGCGTCATCATCATTACAACCATCATCATCGTCACTATCATCATCATTATCATCATCATCGTCATCATTATCATCATCTTCCTCCTGCTCCTGCTTTTCTTCTTCCTCATCCCCATATTCCTCATCGTCACCATCCTTATCAGCATCATCACCACTGGCATCAGCGTCGTCATCATCATCATCACCATCGTTAGCATCATCATCATCAACACCATCGCCATCGGCACCACCATCACCATCACCATGACCATCATCATCATCATCAGCACCATCATCACCATCATCATCACCATCATCGTCATCGTCACCACCACTACCATCGTCATCGTTACCAACAGCATCGTCAGTATCATCGGCATCATCTGCATCGTAATCATCGTCACAATCATCATACTCATCAGCATCATCGTCATCGTCATCGTCATCATCAGCACCATTCGTCATTACCACCACCACCCTCATCATCATCCTCATGCTCATCATCATCATTATCATCGGCATCATCAGCATCCTCATCTCTATCATTATCACCATCATCATCGTCGTCATCATCATCATCATCATCGCCACCATCATCATCGACATCACCATCATCACCATCAACATCATTGTCGTCGTCATCATCACCACTATCACCATCATCACCCTCATCTTCACTACCACCATCATCATAACCATCATCATAACCACCGCTACCACCATAATCCTCGGCACCAACATTATTATCATCGTGATTATCATCACCATCATCACCGTCATCATCATCACCACCACTATCATCATCGTCATCATCATCACTTCCACCACCATCATCATCGTCATCATCATCGGGATTACCATCATCATCATCATCATCATCATCATCATCATCACAACCATCAGCATCACCATCATCGTCACTGTAGTCATTATTATTATCGTCATCATCGACACCGCCATCACCATCATCATCATCACCATTGTCATCATCATCACCTTATTCACCATTGTCACCATCATCATCATGATCACCACCAGTATCGTCATCATCACCACCATCGCCGTCATCATCAGCATCGTCATCATCATGGCTATCATCGTCGTCGTCGTCATCATCGGTTTCACTGTCATCACCACCACCAGCAATCACCATCATCACCATCACTGTATTCATCATCATCATTACCACCATCGTCATCATCATCATCATGACCCTCATCCTCATCAGCATCACGCCATCGTCACTGTCATCGTCAGCATACTGTGCAGCAGCACCACCACCATCACCATCATCATCACCATCACTATCATCAGCATCACCATTATCGCCATCACCATCACCATCATCATCATCACCATCATCAGCATCATCACCATCAGCATCGTCGTGATCATCAACACCATTCGTCATCCTCATCTGCATCACCATCATCATCATCAGCATCATCACCATCATCATCATCATCATCATCATCATCATCATCGTGCTCACCAACACCATTCGTCATCATCATCTGCATCACCATCATCATCAGCATCATCGTCATCATCAGCATCATCAGCATCATCATCATCATCATCACCATCATCATCATCATCATCATCATCATCATCATCATCGTAACCGTCATCATCAGCACCACCAGCAGCAGCACCACCACCACCATCGCCGTCATGACCATCAGCACCATCATCAGCATCCGCATCGTCATCATCATCAGCATCACCAGCATCAGCATCAGCATCAGCATCAGCATCATCATCAGCATCAGCATCGTCGTCGTCGTCGTCATCGTCGTCGTCTTCGTCACCAGTCAGTTTCTGTCTAATCTCTGCGCGAATACGCCACAGGCCGCGCAGGCCGCTCGCACTCTGCGGGGACGGAAGGGGCGACATCTCATGCAGACGGAGGACGGACCGACACGCCACCCCTTCTTATCTAGGACGCCCGCATGAGCGCGACCCCGCTGCGTGAGGAGGAGGAGGAGGAGGAGGAGGAGGAGGAGGAGGAGGAGGAGGAGGAGGAGGATGATGAGGAAGAGGAGGAGGAGAGAGGAGAGGAGGAGGAGGAGGAGGAGAGAAGGAGGCGGAGGAGGAGGGTGAGGAGGAGGGAGGAGGGGGGGAGGAGGAGGAGGAGGAGGGAGGAGAGGAGGAGGAGGAGGAGGAGGAGGAGGAGGAGGAAGGAGGAGGGGAGGAGGGGGGGAGGAGGAGGAGGATAAGGGGGATGGGGGAGTGGGAGGGGGATGGGGAGGAGGGGGAGGAGGAGGAGGAGGAGGAGGAGGAGGATGAGGAGGAGGAGGAAGAGGACGAGGACGAGGACGAGGACGAGGAGGAGGAGGAGGAGGAGGAGGAGGAGGAGTTGGAGAAGGATGAGGAGAAGGAGGAGGAGGAGGAGGAGGAGGGAGGGAGGGAGGGAGGGATGGGTATGGACAGCGCCTTGAAAGGTCGAGAGGTGACAGCACCAAAAGCATGTGGGGGGGATCGACCCGAGTTAAACCGCCCCAGAGGCCCTTGCCTCTTCTTTAGCTTTACTCCTGGCAGCAAGAGCCGCCATACGCTGCTCGTACGAGGGGGCCGAGGGAGAGTCCGAAAACGCTCGCGGGACTGAGGTAACACACAGCTCGGGCTTATCGTCCGTATCACGAGCAACAACGAAGTGTGCTACAGGCAACGCCTTGTCCAGCACTTCTCGAATCTTTGGGTTAGGGCCAAGCCCCCGCCTAAAACGGCTGAGGACATCCAGTCCCTTACGCGTAGGCTTACCACAGACCTCAGCGAGCTTCACGGCTCTCCCTTGAGACCACCCCCCGCATTTTAAACACATAATCTGCTGCTCTCTACAGGGCCCCAGGACAGCCTCCGACCGCGGAACCTCAAGAGCCGAGCCCGACACAGCGACGAGCTGATGCCCCAGGGGATCTCGCAGCAGCTTCTGGAGAGCAGGAGGCTGACCCCTGCAACCGAACATGGGCCTGTCGGGTCGATCACACACCGTCCAACAATACCTGCAATGCATCCCAAGTTCGGTTCTCCTCCAGAGATGCCAGGTCTTCTGCTGGCGGCTTTTCCCCTGGGTGGTGAAAGCGGCCCTCTTCCAACGCACTTCGTTTTTTAAAGAGGGGTACACTTGCAGCAGCAAGCTGTGTGAACGCATCAGCTCGCTTCTGATGCACATCAACACGGTCCAAAAACGTGGGCAGGGGCCGCGGGTGGCCCTCAAGGGCCTTCTTTGCGTGCTGGTCCACAGCACGATTCGCGAAACCAAACCTGCGATCTTCGCCTTCCAACTCCTCGAGAGCAGACAACTCACGATGGGCCTTTACATGGAAGGTCGACAGGAACCCCGTGCCTGCTAGCTCATGGGCAAACCGCCTCGCACCAGCATATTTATTGGAGCCGGCAAATTGCTTCCAAAGAGGCCTCTGGGTCTGACAAATCACAGCTTTACAACCAGGGCCAGGGAAGTGGGACGATCTGCTACCTGCCCGACTAGGGCCGCCCCCGCATGTTCCGCCATCGCAGGGGTTTGGGGGAGACCACCAGGCACAATACCCCTGAGGACGGCCAAGAGAGACTCACTGCCTGGCTCCATGAGCGCGATCGCCCACGAAGCTCGGTGGAGACAGCGAAGGGCCTGCTTCGTGCAGCTCCCGTCCGACGCCATCTCCAGTTGCACAACGTCTCCTGCGAGCGCCGCAAGATCCTCAGGCTGCATATTCAAATCGGCTCCTGCACCGTCAAGGATGTCACAATGGGAGTGCGAGGCAGGAGGGGGCACA